ATACAAACCCCATCCATATAATATTATCATAATTAAATAAACCCAAAAAAAAAAAACAGACCAGTATATTTAATAGTGCTCATCTCATGCCTTTGTTGCCATAGTCCAATACCCTCCCACCAAGAAAAAGACAAAAATCACATTCCTTGTTGCTCAAAACAGTGGTGGGATTGCTACAAGACAAGGGCCGTTCAATTTTACTTGTACTTTTTCATATATTTTTAAGGGAATTTCATGGCATGAGGGTCTCTGCCTCATTACATAGGTCAAAGATAATTGACTCCCAGTTATGTTTAAATAATAAAAGAAAATTTCATGTGATCCTTATGTATAAGTAGTTGGTAATAGTCAAAGCTTTTTCCATTAACGAGACTGCTGTCGACATCCTCATGCCTTGCAACCAACGCAACTCCTTTTCCAAGAGAAATTATACAATAAAAGTCATACATAATTTCCAAATAGTCCTTAGATTAAGGGTCAGTTTGATAACCCGAAACAAATTCATGAACGGTAAATTGAAAGTTCTTTATGAATTGGTTTATGTGTTTGATAAATTTCTTGAGAAGTTAACAAGTTCATGCTTTATATTTTTGAGAACCTACTGAGAAGTTAATAAGTTGTTGGTTTTGTTATTTAAAAATCTCTTAGAAAGTTAAAGAATTTTTGGGTATATGTATTGGATTAGCTTTAAGTAATAGGCAATATATAAAATGTTAAAAATGAGACCTAAATATTATCTATTTTTTTAAGTTATAAATTATTATTTTTTGGGATACAATTGAAAGTAAAATGCATTAGATTGAGAGAGATAGAGAGTTATGAGAGAGTTTTATTGATGAGTAAAAGAAACGTCCTAAAATGAGACATATTTATACATCTATTACAGCAAATGTTGCATGATATGCTTCATGGCACCTCAAAATTAAAGCAATATGCAGACAATATCACACACAACCTCAATTTCATATTGTGTACCAAAGTTTCCTAATCGACTGTCAAATGTATATACTTTCTTAAGTATTATGGGTATATAATTTGTTGAGTCTTTTTACAAATACGAAGTAAAATATATGTTTAAATTTCATAAGTAGGTGTTATCAAACACGCCCTAGGGAACACATGAAGACAACTTCGACCTTAATAAAATATTTATTTCACAATACCCCAGTATATTTAAAGTTTCATAAAGTCCTCTATAAATTATACAAATCTTCTTGAACAATAAGTTTTTTATATTCAAATCTCCATAAGATATACTTATGGTAAAAATATTCAAATTGCCAAAAGTTAAACATGATTTTTAGTTTTAAAAACACACCTAAAAACTTTCCCATAATGTATCGACCAACCAAAGCGCGTGAGGTGTTCAAATTAGATTTTTATGAGTCGAAAATGATTTCAAGCTTCAGTAGGAGCATACTATCTGTTTACTCCTTAAGCAAAATGTAAATATAGGAGCATTTTTAGGACCCAGTATCCTCTTCAACGTAGCAGCTAATTCAAAACATAAAAATTTGATTCACTCTAGAAGAAACTAAAAAAATATCGAAACGTCCAATTTTTTAAAACTAGATCTAATTATGAAAGAAAAAATATAGAGATCCCGTACTTTCTAAGCATGTGCCTCCTTCTATACATTTATTACAACACTATTTAATTCCAACGCTCTTTTGTTTTGCCGACCTTCAAGTAAAAAAAGTTAATTTGTTTGTTTTTTTTGGTCAAAATACCTCCATCTGAACCTTGTCGTGCTCCAACTGACTCTCTAAGTCAGTTTGACACAAAATGTGCAGACCAACACAACTTCAATATATAAATGCCGATGGCACAATTTTAATATAAGTAGGTACGATGCATTTTTTCTTGAATTAGCAAAATTTTAATATAAGAAGGTACGATGCAAAATTTTGTCATAAGCCCGACGATCACATTTTGTACTGGACTGGCATATTTTGAAGATAAGAAGCTAGTCTGACACATTTTTGTACCAAATCGGCATATATTGCATATCATATTTTTCACATGGGTTTAAATGAGAGTATTTTGGTCTAAAAAACCAATTTTTTTTACTTGAGGGGTGAGTGCAAAGATCAACAACATTGCGGTAAAGAGTGTGATTCAAAATATGTATTTTTTGGGGTGGGCAATGCCTAGAAAGTACAGTTTAGGGGGTATCTATAATTTCCTAAGTATTAAAAATTTCAATTTTTATTTTTATTTTAAAAATATTCATCTAAAAGTTCTTAAGTTCAAAGTCAAAAGTCCTCCTAATGTAATTTGAAATGAGAGACTAAATAGACAATATGCTCCCACAGAAAGATAATATATGTGCTCTTGACCGAGTTAAAGGAGAGGAAAGGGAATCTACCTCCATTCTTGATGGTCGCAGGGGGGGGGGGAAATAGTTGAGGTGCTTTTTATGGAAAAGGACAGAGAGGAGGGGAGATAGCCAGATATGGAGCAAGGTTTGAAACCCTAATAAATTCATGACAGATCAAATTCATCCGAAAGCGAAATCCCCTTAGACAACAAAACAAGATGGAGGGAAAATCTTCTGTTGCATTTGTAATAAGTTACTCAAAAAAGTGGAAAAAAATTTAAGAGATGAGCAATGAAATGACTTGTCTTAAAAACTTTTGAGCAATTCACATCAAACATTAATTAAAAACATTATGAACAATTCACAATAAACATTAATTAAGTGAAAAAGTTTACATAAGGATGCAATCTTATAATGCAGAACATTTTACATCAAAATTATATACCATGACAAAATTTGAAGGTGCACCTTACGTCTACAACAATGGAAAATTTGAAGGTGCACCTTACCTCTACAACTATGGATCCATCCGTATGCCAACTGCACCCTTAATTAAATGAGCAAGTGGCACCACAATAATTTCAAGTTTTCATCATAGCATATTAAATGTTTATTATCTAGAATCTTTTCTAAATCTCTTATCTCAGATATTTTTCTGAGCATAATTAATATGGCCCTATTTAAAGCATGGGATGTGAAATGTTTTTGGAATGTTTCAAAACAAATAGACTAGTACTCCCACATGAGAGTTTCAAGCTAAGAGTGTTTTGAAAACTCCATGTCAGATTGAATTTGCTTGGTTTGACTCTGGATCACTGGACATGGGTACTCCACATGATCACTGTTACTTGGGTGCCGATATATGAGTGTTGATATCTACATGGGCTTGGGGATTTTCATTTTATTTGTGAATTGAGATCGGTGGGTGGACGATCTAGTTCATAGACCATCAAGTCTAGTAGGCGACCAAGTTGGTTAGCCATCCATTTTTAGAAACAATAGTTGCAAGTATTTTTTAGACCACCTCACCTAAGGGAGTGGGGCTTGCAATGGGCTAGGTGGCTTGGTTCCAGCCCGGTCAGCCCCACCCTAAAAAAAGTAGGGCCACAAACTGTGGCTCTAGAGCCAATGTCAGTCCAGTCTAGCCCGCCTGTGGCTGTGTTAGGGCCAGGGCTGAGCCTAGGCCATACTTATGGAGACAAGGGCTAGGCCACGGCCAGGATAGGCCCAGTCTGATGTCACCCTTGAGACTGAAGAGAAAGGAAAATGCAGAAAGGGGTTGTGGTCATTGTGGTAGTGCCCCCACACCCAAGTCACCACATTATGGTTTTCATTATCAAATTACTATACATGTGATTTTCATTAAAAAAAAAATTGAAAAAGATAGAAAAACATAAATTTGTAAATCATCGAAAAAAGGAAAATTGTTTTGTGCTGCCTGGATTGTATTTCTACAATATGTGGTCCAGAGGTACAAAGCATCCATCTTAAAAATGGATGCAAATAGGTGATCCATCTAAAAACAATTGTAACTAAGGGTCCAAATGTTTCCTTAATATAATTATTATTTCTAGTTTTTATTTTTTTATTTATTTACGATCTCCATGTTAAAGACTATATATGAAAATTAGAATCAAATTATATTTAAAAAATATATTTATTGCCAAGCCCGTATTTCTACAATATGAGGGATGGCCGCATAGAAACCGTGTCCTTGAAAAGAACATATATCTTAATAGTGATATTATTATTATTGTTAAAGAACCATCCAATTTTGAAGTGTTGAAAACCTGAAAATCCATTGCTCTATGCAATGTTTCAAAACCCGGCTCACTAGTGCGAATCACTGACTCACAAATCCCAGCTCAGTAGTGCAAATCGATTACTCGTTGGATCGGCAATCCAGATCGGGTCTAAATCACTAATTTAAAAAATTTAAAATAAATAAAAATAAATAAAATTTATATCGAGTTATAGGGTGGAGATTAAGAAAATCCATAACTTTGTCAAAAAAATCGGGTGATCTAACTGCTAACAACCTTGTTAGATCGGAACCGTCTAGTGGCCTGTTCCGATTTTGGGTGGTTTTAGTGATCAAGTGGTATTTTAAAAAAAGAAATTCAAGAAAATGTATATAAATTTTCAAAAATAAGGAATTTGGTTTGTAATGTATTTTTAATATTTTTTATATCATGGTAAATATTAAAAATTATTTTTGTCGTTAATATTCACTTTAATTCAAAAATTCGATTATTAAAATCTATTTTTTTATTAATTTTTAATTTCATTTTAATGTGTTTTGTTTTAATTATTCTTTATGTCTTTTTCATATTTTAGTAGATTTTTATTTTTATTTTTTCAACACATTTTTATAATAAGCCGATTTACCGATTAGACTGGTTAAACTGTTTATAGGCCCATATCCAATTAACCATTCCAGTTCAATTTTGCCAACACTAGTCCATCATTCACCATGTTGTAAAATGTTTGCTCGGTGATTCACTTCTAATGCTAAGAAAGCCCTCATGAGCGGGTATATTCCCAGGCGGTGTATATGTACATTTTTATCCCACGAGAGCACTACTCTCTCTGTCCGTTAAAGCATTCCTCATATTTCGTAAATTAATAAGTCATTTAAGAGGACAAGACAGCGTCTTATAATAAATGAAGATGCTACTGTTCCCGAGGCCCCTCCATCTGTCTGCAACCAGCTACTGAAAAAATCCTTCTCTGAAAGTCTCTGAATTCATCTCTGAAAATGGCAGTTGATTTAGCCCCACCCTTTCATTACCAATTTACTGCTGCTTTGGCTTCTGTCGCTTTTTACCCAAGCACTGTGCAACTTGCGAGACTAGGGCACTATCATTCTTTGAACTTCTTTATCTGGCAGCCTGGGTGAAAGGGGCAGAAAGCTTGGGGAAATGTTAGGGTTTATAGGATCGAAGGGGACTGAGAAAAGTTTGTGTTTGGGTGCATTAGTGTTGCAGGTGGAAATGAATTTTTTGGTTTTGAAATCTGAAGGGTGCTGAGGAACGCTCAGGACTGGTTTTAGTGTGGTGAGCTTTTATTTGTTTTATTTGTTTGCTCTCTCACTCTACTATTCGCTTTGAGGTGATGGCTTCACTTAAAATCTCTTACTCTTGTAGATTTGATATTCATGTGATGCTCCTGAGTAAAAGCTTGCAACTGAGATGCCAGACAAGTTCTTTCGTGGGTGATTCTCTCTCCTCTCTCCTGTAGTTTTGATATGCATGTAATACGATCTCTCTCTCTCTCTCTCTTTGCGTTTTAAGTTCATGAGTGAAGGCGGGTTGCCAGATAAGTTCTGTTGTGGGCGATTCTCTCTCCTTCACTGTCTTATAATTTTGAGTTTTTGATATTCATGTAATGCTGATCTCTCTCTCTTCCCCCCTTCCTGTTCAAGTTTTCGAGTGAAAGCCTATATTGCCTTGAGTTGCCAGACAAGTTCTCTCGTGGTTGACTCTCTCTCTCTCTCTCTCTCCCTCATGTGTGCACGCACACATGTGCGACCGTGCATGTGTGTGGTCGTTCTTGACAATGCTGATGGTGTGAATCCTGAGTGTTCCTAGCTAACGTTGCTTTTTACGAGACTCTATGTCTTTCATTATCATTCTTAGTGTTGCTTGAAAGTAGTTTGGATTTTCCTCAAAAATATTAAAACTAGAAATTCACAGGTACCTGGCAACTTTTTATTTTGCTACTCTCTCTGTCTCTTTCTTTCTTATGAGCAAGTGACCGTTGCGTTCAAATGTTTGATTTGAGATCCTGAAATGTTGAACAAATTGCAGTTTTGGAGAGAGACTCTTCAAAATTGCTCTGTCTTGAAATTGATTCATAGCATGGCTATTTCTAACTTTGATATTATGAAATTCTGAGAAAACAAAATCCAATAATCTCTCACCCACATACGGATACACAACACCCACTCTTCCTCCCTCTCTCGCGTTTTATGAATTCATGATCGGTGGGACTATTTCTTGAGAATGCTTCTTTATGCTATGCATTCTTCAGAACTTGGATGCATTGGCTAAATGATACACAATCATCATGTAAAGCTTATCTCACTTAAAAGCAAAATTTATGTTAAACATATCCATGTTGAACCGTGACAGTTGGATGCCTTTCTATTTATTTACAGACTACCAATTAAAAGCTGATACATTTTGCTGAGGTTCCAAAATGGTGGAAACTGGAAGACGTTCCTTAGAGATTCCTATAGCAAAAACCCTGGTTGCCCTTCGAAGAGTGCGATCTTTGAGGGATCCAATGACCAACTCCATCAGTAAATTTGGTTCCTTAATCGATGATCTAGGATGGGAAGCTAAATCCTGCAATGGTGGTTCTATTTGTGGCAATGCAGGTGGGGATGGCATTCATGAATCACAATTGCGTGTTTCTGCTTCTGACATCCAGAGTGATGGATTTATCTACCATGGAGAAATTGAAAGAATCATTCGTGGTACTGATGAACAAGACGAAAATGGGTCTTGTGAAAATGTGACTAACCAACAAGTCCAAATGGATGATTATAAGGGAGGAGAGAGAGTACGAGTCTCTCAATGTAGAAATGGTGAGAGCAAGCTGTATGATGTCAAAACATCCCCGGGTATAATAAGAGAGAGAAAGACTGGTGACCGAGTGTGTAAAGCAAAGCATAATGACAGGAATGAGCCAATGAATTCAGTAGAGGCTTTCTCTTCAAACAGGGTTTCATCATTTGCCTGTGCTAGAGAGGATGAGCTGTATGGGTCCTCAAAATTCTCCCCTTATTCACAAGAGGAAACTACCTATCGAAGAAGGGGCTCAAAGTACAGTAGAAGCAGTCCTCACTCGCCTTCATCTGAATGCAACAGCCATTGGTACAATAAGAGAGAATTGATGAGGATGGAAGGCTGGAGCCATAGCATGGTTCTCTCTGGCAATGAAGAGATAATGGGTCCATCTCACAATGATTGTGGGATCGGTTGTTGTTGGTCAAAAACACCAAAATCTAGAGAAAGAAGGCTTCCTCATCTTTGTGGGTGCAGCCCACCATCTGATGAAGTTCATTGCTCAAGAAAGAAATGGCTTAAAGCTTTTCCAAGGGGAGAGATGGCCTGGAGTAAGGAATCTACTAGGGGTTCAGGAAACACCAACCTTTTGTTTCCTTCTGATGTAGAAGCCCTCCCATTGTTGACTGCTACTTGTTCCAGGAAATCAGTGTCTGAGGCCGCAGAAGAAAGTAGAAGTGGGCCAATTTCTGTGTCTCCCAAAGATAGAATGGAATTGGCTGCTGAATTCAGAGATTTGTCATTGTATTCCAATGCAAATAGGACACTAAGCCAGAAATATAGGCCAAAAACTTTCAATGAGCTTGTGGGCCAAAATATAGTGGTGCAATCTCTTGTTAATGCCATCTCGAAAGGGAAAGTTGCCCCTGTCTATCTCTTCCAAGGTCCTCGCGGTACTGGCAAAACATCAACCTCTAGGATTTTTGCTACTGCTTTGAATTGTCTCTCTCTAGAGGAACACAGGCCATGTGGTTTTTGTAGGGAATGCACAACTTTTGCATCAGGAAGGTGTGAAGATGTTAAAGAAATGGATGCAGCCAAATTTAACAATATAAATAAGCTCAAAGGTCTTCTTAAGCATGTTTGTAGTTCTCCTGTTTTGACACAGTTTAAGGTTTATATTTTTGATGAGTGCCACTTTCTTAAAGGTGAATCTTGGGCTGTTCTTTTGAATTGTGTTAAGGAACTTCCTAGACATGTTGTTTTCATATTGATTACCTCTGAACCAGATAAGCTTCCTCGAACGGCTCTATCTAGATGCCAGAGATACCTTTTCCTGAAAATCAAGGATGCAGACATTGTGAGCAGGTTGTATAGGCTTTGCATGGCTGAGAATTTGGATTTTGACAAGGCTGCTCTGGACCATATTGCCATGAGATCTAATGGTTCCCTTAGAGATGCAGAGACCATTCTTGATCAGCTCAGTTTACTTGGACAGAGGATAACAATCCCCCTAATACATGAACTTGTGAGTTCTTCCAATCTTATGATTAGACACTTAGTTGGGCATGTGCTGCCTCTTCTGTTAACTTATAAATTGTGGGTAATTACTGTGATTTGTCTGAGAAATGTACTTTCTATTCCTTTCTAGTTATCGTGTGCTTTTGGCTAATATGGATACCTTTAAGTAAATGCTTTATGCTTTGGATATGCTTATGAAACCCTTGAACATAACATACGTGGTCCTTCATCACACAGAACATAACATATGTGGGGTTCTTTTATGTTATTGGGTGGAAATTTTAGTACCCCAATATGAGTTTTGCAACTTTGCTTGTCACTGGTTGTCATTAGGTGATATCCACTGTGTGGTTGACCTTTTTCTTGACTCCACTTGTGCAGATTGGTGTGGTTTCAGAAGTTGAGTTGCTGGATTTGCTGGATTTGGCTCTATCTTCTGACACTTCAATGACAGTTAGGAGGGCTAGGGAACTTATGAGGTCTAGAATTGATCCTATGGCTTTAGTATCTCAACTTGCAAATCTCATTATGGACATTCTTGCGGGTAAATGTCAATTGGGAAGCATGAAGAATAATAATGCTTGTAAGTTGTGAAAATTCTTGGTACTTAGTACAAGCTTTTGATTTTGATCATTTTTACATGAATGGGCTTACAACTTTGGATGCTATGGGCAATAGAAAATAAATCTGTGATTGATGCGGCTTAGTTAGGTTTCCCTTACAAGAAGCAAAATTCTTTTTCGAGGGAAAGCAGCAAAAAGAATTTTGATATAAAGAACTTCTCAGTACTGTTTTTTTTTTAGAATTAAGAATTTTTCAATGTTTCATTAATTGTTGCTTATGTTTTAAGTACTTTACCGCTAGAATTTTCTGCTATATTATTTGTTCACTTAAACAACTATTCCTTTCGTTCCTGTCCATAACTTTTTCACTATATATTCCATTGATTTGGAATTGTTGACGTAATGAACTCTTATCCCAAAATTGACTTTTCTCAGCTGCTGTGTAGGTGATTTGTATTTTTTTTTTGTGTCTTATCATATGTAGGATGTCAGGTTTATGCTGACAAGAAGTTTATTGCAGTAACTGAAGTTGAGCTGCAGAAACTACGACATGCATTGAAGATACTCTCTGAAACTGACAAACAATTAAGGTCGTCAAGGGATCAAATAACATGGCTTACAGTAGCACTACTGCAGTTCGGTAGTTCTGAATCTTCTTTGGTCTTGGATTCAAGTGGTCCAAATGCATACCAAAACTTTTCAAATTTAAGAGGTGAGATGCTGGCTGAGCTCATAACCCTGAGTTTCTTTGCTTTCTTTAGAGTTAGTAATGAACTAACGGAGTCAATTAACTGAACTGCAGAGTGTTAGGAGTGAAACTATCATGAAATTTGATGAATCATATCATATGCTTTGAGTGCAGAGAATGGCCCTTGCAGCACATCCTATGCCAATGGGAAATTGGAACATCCAAAAGATGATATAAGAGATGATAATGCGTCATGCTGCTTGGATGCTCATAGTGATACTTCTGGCAAATTGGATTTAATTTGGAGACGAGCTATATCACAGTGTCAATCATGCACTTTAAAAGAGTTTTTACAAAAGGAGGGCAAGCTCTTGTCCATTCATGTCAAAAACGGTACTAAAAACGGTACTTCCAGTAGCTCTATACTTCATCATGCGTGTATGAACTTCCTTTCTGTAGTTATCCCGTTTTTTGTCACTACTATTGCAATGTATGCTTTTCTTTTAGTGCATGGAACTCATGAGTTCGCCTGAGAACGTGTGTAATTGGAAATGCTAATTGAGCTATAGCGTTGAGCTTTATAGCTTAATTCTCAGGATCTTATTATGAGAGTGATACTTTTTGAACTCATCATCTTTCTCAAGGAGCTATATATTTCAAATACAAAGAATTTATTTCAAGTTCTATGTTCTGAAATGCAGGTTTGGCAGTTGCTGAACTGCAATTTTGTCATCCTGATCATGTATCAAGGGCAGAGAAGTCATGGAAAAGTATTGCAAATTCACTTCAGAATGTGCTTGGTTGTAATGTAGAAATCAGAATTAATATGGTCTATTCACCAGCACCAACAAATAATGTCAAGCTTCAAACTCAACCACATGTCTTGTTAAGCCAGTTGGCTGGAGGCCAAGCAAAGATACTCTCTCCTCTTGTGGGAGAGAAGAATCAGTCACATGGTGATGTTATTTCTCCTGAACAGGTTGAAAGGAAGAATAGTGTGAGAAGTCCTTCTTGTGGAAGTGGGTGTAAATTCTTCAATTGCATAAGGCAATCTGATGATGAAAGATCACATTATGTAGTCCATTTTCACCCTGAAAAATCAGAGGCTATGGGTGCCATTGCAAGAAACAATAAAAGCATTCATTCATTTGAATGTCAGAGAACAATAGAAGATGATTTTCTTAATGGCAACAACTTTGAAATTGATTGTTTGAAAGATTCAGAGAATAATCAATCCCATGGTGTTCCAAAGCTTGAAAAGCAGCCCAGTTGCTTCTCAAAGACCAAGCTTCACAGAAACTTTTGCTCATCTAATGCCACTCATACAACTCGTGTTAGGATTCCTGCACATAAAAAATCTGGACTATCAATGCCAAAGGAGGCATCTTTCAGGACCTATGTATGTACAGATGAGCCTTTTATTCATAATCCAAATTCAAATACACAAATGACAGTCAGGAACGGCTCTGAAGATGATGACTTGTAAGTGGTTCCATGTTAGAATAATCTAATATGATTACTATCAGAGGTCATGGAATCAGCAGATTGCCCTTTTTATTAGTTATTAGTACCTGAGAAATTTCTATTTGATTCCTGGCTGGAATGTTATTTTATTACATGGACTATCTGCCCATAACTTTTTTTTATGGGCTGATGGTCTTGAACTTACATTCACACGGGACATGGTGATCATGGTCAATAATTTCTATCTTTTTTGGTGTTACTTTGCTGTTGATTGAATGTGCAATGAGATTCAAGCATGCCAACCTTTTGCTTCAGGCTTTGCTGTATTCTAGCATTTGTTATGCTTATATATGTGTCCCTTCATGTACTGGAAGTTGTCACCCTTGCCTTTCACTTCTCATAATAAAGATGTTAGGTACTTTGAACTTAAACTGACATAATTTTGTACTTGACGAAGAGAAACTTACATTATTCTAACAGGATGTCACTTGCTCAACCTCAAAATAGTTTGAGAAAATCAAGTGAGTGCTAACATTCAGAAAGAAAGAAATAAAGTGAAAGCTTCTCATGGAGCCCTAAAACAAACCCCTGCTTCTGAATAGTCCAATGGAAATCAAAATTTGGAAAAGTTGTGTTTTTTACATTTATATAGTAATTTAATTATATTTAATAATCAGACATTCCAGATATACTTCAGGAATTAATTTTGAAGGATGGTGTTGTGTTGTTAAGCTAGATAGCTGCCTTGTAGGATTAAAGGTGGACAGTAGTTGTTGATGTGATCTGAAGAGAGTTGTGTAAGGTACATGATTGTGGGTGATGAAGTGCCTCATAGGTGACTGTAAGAACACATAAGCGGCGCACACTCACAAATAGAAATATCCCAATTCTCTCCTGTATCTCTTAACTAATTTCCCCTTATATGCCCCAATTTCCTCCTCTTTCTGGCTCGCATGATCTGAGAACTATTTTGATTTTACCTGTCCACTATGTAAGATGTGCATTTACCATCCAACTACTTGTCATCTTTTTTTTTGGATTATAGTGAAGGAGATAGTTTAGCTCGATTTGCAGCATGGAATGACACTGTTTTCATCAAGCTGAGCAACTGAATTGATGAAAGTTGGTCATCATCATGGTAGAGGTGTTTAGCAAGTCCGTTTCAAATTTGTTAGAAGACATTGTACTCCACGGTTTTAGATCCTCTTTCAGTGGTCTGTCTTTTTCCCATTCACAGTACCCAGATGACACGTTAGCTTCTCTGATCCTCACACCCAATAAGGCAATTTCTCCTCAGGTGCTTTGAAATTGCTACAGGTTTCAAGATCAACATGGCGAAAACTTCTCCGTTTGGGGGTCACAAACTGTTTTGAACCTGGACAAAAGACTGATGTTGTATTGATTCCTTACCAAGCGTGTATTAGGATTTTCCAGTGTGCATGGGCAAGCCTCATAAGGCACAAGGGGGTGTGGTAGAATGATTCGCGTTACAGTTTACTGCTTGAAGGATCAGGTTCTATCTTCAGATGATAGGATTATCTTAATCAGAGCTAGTCTATCGAATACCACTGTTTTCCATATGTCTCTTTGTAGAATGTGCCCTGCAATTGTAAACAGCTTGAGAGGTTAATGAGAAACTTCTTGTGGTCTCGTGCCGAGGGATTGTGAAAATTCCATTTTATCAAGTGGAACATGGTCTGTAAGTCCAACTGGAATAGGGCATGGGGTAATAGAAGTCTGGGAGATTGAAAATGCAACACGTGGTAAGTGGCTGTGGCATTTTGCCAACTAGGAAGGTCATCTGTGGCAACTGGTCCTCAGGCATGATGCTAATGCATCAGCCTTGGGTCTGTGGATAGGAATTTCTTTAGGCATGTGAAGTTCATACCATGCATTCACTTTATGGCCAATATGGGAGAAAGTATCTGCTTGTGGGTGGACCTTTGGCTTGGGGTTGTCACCCTGCAGTTCCTTCACCCGGGGTTTTATTCCATTCGAAGATTGAAAGATGTCAGGATTGCTCAATCCTATGAAGAAATTGGGGAGCAGCTGGTCTGGACCCCAAGTTTCAGGAGGAATATCACATATATGGAGATATAAAACCTTATTTGGAGGCATTTCACTGTTTGATAACTGGAAACTGGAAGTTCCCTGGTAAGTGGAAGTTCTAAACTTCTAGAAGCTGTTGTTTCTAAGGCGCATCTTCAAATAGTGCCGAAACATGTTGTTTCAGTATCAGAAATCTTCGTGATTCATCTTGAATTATAAAATTTAGAGATTCAAAACTCGAGCAGATATGTGAACCCTTGAAAATATTGAAATTGATGGTCTAGATAATGCATTACATGATGCATTATTTTTAAGGCTTGAAATCTATTTTTTCTCATGTCTTTGAGGTCGGGATGATCGAATTGAGGGTTTTTCAGCATCAAAACAACCTCTTCTAGTGCACTTTCAAAACAAAAAAAGAAAAACAAACCTCTACTAGTGAATTTTGGAGGTGCGCCTTAATTTGATTGTTAAGGCCTCACCCTTATATGAACGTTTTCCAAAAAAAGAAAAAAAATGTGTAGGAAACAAACTTGAAAATGATCCCGCAGTCCAGCCATTTCCAATCTTCAGTCTTCCATGGGAGAGTATATAACTGGTGGTATACGCGTGTTTTTCGAAATTGGAAGTTCCAGACAGGCCTCCCACTGTAACATTTCTGTTATCAGACAGAGAAGTTCTACAGAAGCCTGAAACTTCTGGTTTCCGGAGCCTGAAGTTCCTGAAATCAAATGTGCCATGAGAGATCAGAGACTGACAGGTTGGTGTGGACCCGGCCCACTCGAGTTGTTTCTCGGATGTTTTCTTTCCACCTGGTCCTTAGGCAAGCTAGCCTAGGAAGAAACCCCTGCCTTAGCTGCAAAAGCCTAGTTCCAACTGCCCCTCCCCCTCCCTCTGCCAAAAACAATCCGGGGCTTTAATTGGCTGGTCCTCTCCAAGGAAATTCTAATGATTGATCATTTTGAAAGGGGCTACTCAGCTTTTCAATAGGTGTGTGATGTGCATGGAAGCGGAGGAAAACACTGACCACCTGTTTCTGCTTTGTCTTTTCTAGAGCCTTGTTTGGGTCTACTTTGATGTTTCGGCTGGTTGTGGGTGACTCTACCAACAGTTCAGCAATTTTTTGTGAAGTACTTCACGCGCCCTATCCATCTTTGGGTATTTTCCTTTACCGGGCATCTATTCTTTGGATGCCTGTCCAGTCAGGTATCAACCACATAAATTTTTATGGATCTTCCCTTGGCAAGCCTGGCCTGCTGGTGTTGGGGTCCTTCATTGAGATAGCTCATCTCGACTGTGCTCTGTTATTGGGGCCCAATCAGAACAGAAGATTCTCATGGTATAAAATTGTTAACAACTCCTAGGGTGGGTCGCTCCCTCATAATGGAAGTGAACTCATATAAAGTCATCTCATGGGCTTTGACGACATCTCGCAATCCCTGGAGTCTAGAACATATCTTCATCCAGATTGTTGTGACTACGATATCTTTACAAGTTAATTTTAAGCACATGTGGAGGGAGACAAATGCCGCTGCGGATTCCTTAGCTAAAGTTTTGTATTCAATCCATCATAACTTGGATTATGTTGTTGGTCATTTTTTTTCCTTTTGTACTATCTGTCCTTTTGTAATGGGAAAACGCTCATGTAATACCTTATTACTTCTATAGCGTCGATTATTTTCAGAAATACAAAAAACGTTCCAACATATTTCCTGCAATTTTTTATGCTTGAAGCAAAATTGTCAAAGGCTTCAAGTAGCTGTATTTTTGGAGTGAAAGAGTGGAAAGGAACTGCATTCATTTGTCCCAGTTAAAGAAGGAAGCTCAATACAAATGTTCATGCCTTCTCAGGTTGAAGGAACTCTGAGTGATAAACTAGGGTTAGATAAGGTTTTTGATGTGTAACTTGGGAATAGTGTCATGAATCAGAAAGTTAGAGGATCTTGGGTGGATATTTTGTAGGGCTTTTGAGATGCTTACTTCTCAAATTAGATTTGTGAATGATAGAGTAAATAGCTTCTTGGATATTATATCAAACTTAGGGATGTCTTAAAAATCCAAAATCGAAACCTCCTCCTTAGGGTTTTCCTTGTTGGGAAATCAGCAGTGTAAAGCAGATCACATTAAATCTTGGTAGAACTGCAATTATCGGTGATGGTTTCCATGAATCATGTATCCTTTCTTTTCTAGAGAGCTGAGATTCTCTGGTTTTTCCTGATCTCATATACATACAAACAGCAGACTGAAAAACGGGAACATAGTAGTGGAATTAGTTTCTCTGAAATTTATTTATGCTACAAATTGTCTTGTAAGACTCATTTAACTCCTTTGATTTATACTTTAATGAATGCAATGCTCTCTCTGCCCCAACTCTACACTTAGTTTTAGCCTACTGTCCAAATTACAGATGCATCACCTCAGTGACATTTAGTTCTTGTGATGGCCTAGGATGCAGGGTTAGTAATCTGTTTTTCTCATTTTGCATATCATGTCATATCTGATTTTGAAATATTTGTATGATTTGTGCCTTGTTTTGCACTAAAAAAGTACTTCATTGTATTTGGTACTGGCATAAAAGTTCATAGTTGTTCATTTAGTTTCTTATGTTCTTTTTATTATTTTCATAATTGACTGATTTATTTATTGGGTGAGGTTTACCTAAGGTTGCAACCTTAAACATTCAAAATAAGGCGCACCTCCAAACTTTATCATAAGATACAATTTCGGTATCAAAAAATTTCAGGATGGCCCGAGAATATAATTTTCATCTCTAACTATAAAATTTTAACCTGCAAAAATGGTTCAATCAAGCAGATCTATAAACGCATGAAATCTTGAAAATGGACGGTCTAGATAATGTGTTGCAAGATGTACAATTTTTGGACTTGAAATATTTTTGTTTTTCCATATGCATATATCTTGAGGTCGTGATGATCAATTAGATGGTTTTCTAACGCCAAAATAGCTTTTTCTGATGGATTTTTTTAGATGCACCTTAATTCTACATTTAAGGTGTCATCCTTATATAAACTCTCCTTATTTGTTTATGTTACACTTGGTTTACTTTGTCATAAAAGAAAGTCAGTTTTGGGGGTTCATTGATTAGTACACCTCCGGTGCTGGTAAGGTCGGGACCGTGGTCGCCCGTCTCTGGTTTGCCGGCCGATAAGATCTCTGAGATTGACCAGCCAGCGAAGAAGGAAGCTTCTCTTTCTAACCAAACCAGTACAATCGATTTAAATTCCTCATTCTCATATCCAAGATATTCTGAAAGACAGAACTCATCTCTATATACATACAATATTTATAACAAAAGAGTTGGTGGGATAGATTCGTTTAAAACTAGCTCCTCTAACGAGATCATATTAGCACAGGCAGAAGTCTGCTCCTTCTACTAAGTCCAGTCCAAGCGAGAAAAGAAAGAAATGAACGAACTGGGGAAGGCCGTTTTTCCATTTGCATATATCTTGAGGTCGTGATGATCAATTAGATGGTTTTCTAACGCCAAAATGGCTTTTTCTGATGGATTTTTTAGCACCTTAATTCTACAATTTAAGGTGTCGTCCTTATATAAACTCTCCTTATTTGTTTATGTACATCTATCTGTTGTTAATTTTGATGTATATATCTTACATTGCAACCTTGCAGACCATGCAGAAGTTCAAAGATTGACTTGAAGCTGCATTGTTGGAAAGCTCCCAAGTTTCTTTTCAAAAAGGTATCATTGAAGAATACTCCTGCTTATCCCTTTACTGGATATCCTTGACTATGTTTCTACATTCTTAACAAAACGCATTCTATTAAGCAATCTAGATTACTTGACAAATTTGGGACTTTGTACAAGACAGTCCCATGGTTCATTGCCTCATGTCTTTACATGCCTTTGAAGGTTTGACTCATTGGAGAATGTAGAGAACCATTGTGCAGACTTTGGCACTGAATTTAGTGCAGCTGTCTTGACAAGTCCTTTGCTTTGTGGTCAAAATTTTCAACCTAAATTGTTTGTCAGAGATCTTGTGGTTTCCCCAAATCTCAGGAGTAGTTTGTTGGGTATTTGTGGATGAATTTGCGAAGGTATTCCTGTCCCAAATTTCTGAACATTTCCTTTTATCTGCAGCAAAACCAACTAGAATGCTTTTAATTCATCTCGAAACACACTATTCTGGAGAGTTCAGTAAACATAAGGCACACTAATGCATGTATTAAATTCAAAGAGAACACCTTATTTGAGAAGGTATTAGTGGCTTTTCAGCAAACAACAACAACGAAATGCTTTTATTCATCTTGCTGCACACTATTCTGGAGACTTTTATACTGAAGCCCACTAATGCATGGATGAAATTTCAGAAAAAAAAACACTCATTTATGAAGTGAGAGAATTTAGGAAAGTTCAAAGCCCAGTCTGAGCTTGGGACTCGAAAAGGATTTTATGGTGACTCGATAGTGAGAAAAATCTCCTTTATCTGTTTTGATTTAACATGTTCGAATTATGTCTCTCTCTCTCTCTCTCTCTCTCTCACACACACGAGTGGTAGAGAGGGAGAAACAAAATGCTAATCCTAACTCTTTTCATTCAGGCATGGCATCAGCGAAGAAGACGGAGGTTGAGACGGTCCCATTTGCTACATTGGGTTTTACCATGTGCTACCTCCAAGTAGTTTAATGCAGCACATGAATGCTGAATCGATGGTATAAAGCAACATTGAATACTTGAGTTCCTGGTTTAAAGCACATGAATGCTGAATCGTTGGTATAAAGCAACATTGAATTCCATTGAAACTCTTATGACAAACACACTGTAACGAAAAGTCTTTGATATCACTTCATGCACAATACTTGAGTTCGTGATATGGAATCGTGCTTACTTCTTTGTAAATTATTGCATACATTATTTGGTTTGGTTGTTCTAACCGGTATTTTGAAATGCATTTTGCTTTTAATGTAGCCAAATGTTAATAGTTTGCAGGAAAACTTTTAGAGCTTTGGCTACATTGTTTGCACCAAATTGGAGACATCAATGTCTCTCTATGTCTGAAGGGTGAAGAGTAATGTAAATTTTTTAAATATGATTCATGTTAAATTTATTGCTTAAAATGTTCACATTTTTCTTGAAAGGGCGAGGCTTGCATAAGGTGCCCACTTTATTCTACTACTCTAATATATAATTATAATGCATCTCTAATCGAAAGATATAGTTTCGATGTCGAAAACTCTATGATGGCTTGAAAATCTGAGTTTAAATCTAATTATAAAATTTAAACTTCTAAAAATGGTGCAATTCAAGAAGATCTATAAAAACTTAAAAAATCTTGAAAATATATTCATACATCTTGTAATTGAGATGATGAATTCAAAGATTTTTGAGCGCCGGAACTTTTTTTTTAAATTGGATTTATGTCTATTTTCCTTTTTAAAATAAGGGACCTTAATAGGTGAACTTGAAGGTCCTTGTATTTTCTTATGAGTATGTATTTATGCACAAATCTGATTTCTAAAAATGTTTGCAAGCAAATTAAAAAATAGAAAATTTATCAAGATACATAGAAGTGATTAACAAGTTAACATTTTTACCCGTCTTTTTATTTAAATTTAAATCAAAATACATGATCATGCGCTGGAATAGTTGGAAAAATGTTAGCCTTTAAATAGTTAAAAAAATAGGTGTGCTTGGATATATTTCCCTTGAAAAATTTACTGGCAAAGCGTCTCATCATTATTTAAAAAAAAAAAGAAACTCTTTTTCTAAAGGGAAAAGTTTATATAGAGCCTAGGCTCTAAACAATCAAATTAGAGCCTACTTCAAAACATTCACTACAAGAGGTTATTTAGATGCCCGAATATCATCAAATTGATCATTTCAACATTAAGATGTATGGATATGAGAAAAAAATTGAATTTCAAGTTTTGAAAATGGTGCATCTTGTAACGTATTTTTCGACTGTTAATTTTTAAGATTTTTAATTTTTTATAGATCTTAACGATCCATACTATTTTTAAAATTTTAAATTTTATAACTAAAGATGAAAATATAATTTAAAGCTATCACAAAACTTTCCCGCGTAAAACCAAATTTCTCAATACTATTTGGAAGCGGGCTCGAGCCTCGGCTCCATCCAAACCGCACCCTTTTCTAGATCTTGCTGACATTGCTTGCGTGATAAAAGAGGCGGATTCAGCCGCATTTTTTAAGCCTATAGGATTTCGTACACACATAGGAATATAATGTCCATGTACTCGTTCGGTCAAAACACAAAACCTAAGGATACCGTTTTGTTTTTTACGGAAAGTGCAACGATACTATTTGGATATAAAAGTTTGGAAAAAACTAATGCTTCCATATTATTTCAAATTTCGTGGGTAATAATGAGGATTGTGTTAACACGGAGAAAAGGCCCTTTTTTTAAAGGTATGCACAAAAGAAGAATTGCATATACTATCCCAATGTTAACTTCTTGATATAGTATTTCACTGTGAAGTTTTCGTGGTTGGTAATGATGAGAAGGGTATGAAACAGTTTTCCTGAAAACTTTGTTTACGCCTGCATTAGATTGATGAGAAATTGATGATACGATTTGGCAAGAACGAGAAAATAATCATTACTTATTTATATAAGGCTGTGAATTTTATTTTAGAAGTAAGATTGCAGTAATCCACATAATCTTAATAGATGTATCATATATACATCGTCTAACTAAAATAAAACAGTATGGCGAATAATAACCTTATTTTTACATACAAGGTTTCAACCTTATACGAACTCTAACCTTTCGTTTTCAAAATAATAATGTAGTAAAAGAAAAAAAAGGTGACTAACATTCTAGGGGATGCCGTACAAGTCTCTAACCAGTTCCTCGTCAGCTCGACAATTTTGGGTATCGCTCACTACTAATATAAACATGATCATGATACATTTGAAAGCAAGAATGTTTTTGGTGTAGAAGGAGAAATGGGGTAAGAAAACAGATTACAGATATATAGGTAGTCGGAGTGTCGTTTACCATTTTATATTTTCAATGGAAATAAACTGATTCTTGATCCGTCGCCGGTTTTAAACATCAAGCGGTTAGCAATATTGGGAAACTTGGTAGCAGAGCAACCACACTTTTTAGCCGTTGGATTTTTCATGGGACGGTGATGAGATCTATTTATGTTTTAGCTGAAGATGAATGAGGCCTTAAACATTCAAGTAAAGCACACCTTCAAATGATGCTGATAGATGTTGTTTCAATGCTATAAATTCTTGTGATGGTTTGAAAATTTATTTTTATCGTTAATTATAAAATTTAAATGTAAAAAATAATAATAATCTAGCAGACCTATGGATAATTGAAAATTATGAGAAAATGAACCGTTTAAACCAGCGTTTTAAAAAACGCCAAGTTGAACCGGACTTGCCCGGTTCGACTCGGAAATAGTGAAAAAGGAACCGGATCGCCCAAAAATCGGAAATCGTCCGGTTCTAGAGAGAACCGGACGATTCTGTACACTGAATCGCCGATTCACTGTACGGAATCGGGCGAGTCCGAACAGTGAATCGGCGATTCCGTACGGTTAATTTTTTTTTTTTTTTTTTTTTTT